TATTGATCTAGTTAATGATCATCTAATTCAAAATTAACTTTTTCTATTTATTCAAATGAGTTTACAATAAACAAAATGTAAATTAATCGCAAACAAATTTTCGCGCTTATTGATTTAATTGTGACTAATTTTTACAGCTGGTTAGAGTAACAATCAACATTAACTAATTGGAATAACCTTAATCACAATTTTGTATAAATGATCGTCAGCCAAGAATCAGCTTCAATCAATTTTTCCGTCGGCTTTCAGGAGCTGCATTAACTGTAAGGCTAGTGAGTTGTTCATTTGGTAATCATTATTACAGTCGTTCAAGTTCAATATGAACCCTTTAAAGAGACACTGAAATGGCTTAAAGATCAAATGAAACGGATTAGCGACTAAAAAGATTAAGAATATTTTTTAAAATTCAAGTGAAACGTTTTAAAGGTGATCAGAAACAATTTAAAAAGTATTTCATTTTCAGTTCATTCAAATACATTGAAAACCTTCAATTCATGATGATTTGACCACCACAACATTTTTAGATTCATCTAATCATGTTAACAAAGCATTTGCGACAGTCAAATTTCAATTAATTGTAAGAGGTGATTTTCATTGATTGTATTTTATATATTATTATATTTTTCGCGTTCGTCAAGAATCATTGTCTTAAAATTATTCGTGATAAGTTTTGAAGAAGTTCAATGCTAAAATTACTCAAATTATTTATTATAACTTTTAACTATGCAATTCCTATCTAACCCATTGTTAAAAATCTCATAGAGATAAGTGATGAGATAAGATCTCAGATACCATATAATATCACATCATATCATTTCTTTTTTCCAGAACTTAGCCAAATCGCTTTGTTCAGCATAATCTTTACCCAAAATTTGAGTATTAAATTGAGCTATGCTACAGTGAATTATGTTATCAAGGTTGGTTAAATATTTTATTTTGCGATGTAAGGGTGTAACGGATAACAATTAAAAAATCGGAGCTAGTGATGCAGCTTAATCTTAACTAAAAATGAAGATAAGGTTGACAAAAATGCAAAGATTAAGATAACATCCGTTAAAATCCGTAACACCCTTTATAATGATGTTTATCTCTATCTTAAGATTTACATTTGATGAGAAAAACTTCAAACAGAAATGAGATGATTGTAGAGACACAAAGTAATAAGTAAAGGTTGATTAGATCTGTAAAATTAGAATACGTGATTGGACTGTAAGAGCCTTCAGCTTTAGGGCTTAATTCTTCGTAGAATTGACATCCAGGAAATAAAATACTCGAGCTGTGACTATAGTAAGTTTTCCTCGCTTTTATTGCTGCCACATTACTAAAACCATGTTCAATATGTGAATATGAAGCTCTGTAAATCCATCGTTTCTTATTGCGATCAATATTCGTATGGTAAAAGTATGAACCTGTTTTCTCAAAATAGCGAACTTTACTAGAATGAAACAGAAAATCATTTCGTCCATTTTTGAGATACTTATAATTTCTCATATAAAGATGCTGACAAAAGAACTTATAAAACCATTCAACGTTATCGATTTCGCCAAAGAGTGAAATCATAAATTCATAACCCGTAGCATCCAAATAGTTAACGAGCAATTGATATTCAATAGGAATTAGTGGGTTTCCTAAGCCCATAGATTCATTTGCAAAACGATAACAAGTATCTTCATCTGCCGTGCACTTTATTTCTTTCCGTGAAGTTAAATCAGACCACGTATTCAAAGGTGCTGGACGTGAGGCTATCGAGTATTGTGTTGTAAATGATGTCGAAAATAAATGTAATATGTAATCAACTGAGAAAGAGCAGGTTAAAAATAAGAATAACCCGAATTTACCTTTGATGCTGGTCAACAGAAACTTCATGATCGAAGGTCGATAAAAGGTTGAATTGGTCTGACCAGTACTTCTGATATTAGATCGAGCAAAATATAATATCAAAGCAAGAACTGTTAACATGATGATGAAGATACGAACCGAGTCATCAATTATCTCAAGTGATGATAATATTCCTTTGTTAATTAGACCAGTGGATGAGTTTGGATAAATGTTCATGAAGACACAACTGTCAGCGCCAATCACTGGCCCGACTGATACATTTACCTCTGTACCGTCCAGAAAATGTAAATATTTAGCCGGATAAAGTAAATCAGCTTCACCTGATCTGAAGAACGAAATAACATCGGCCTCACTACCAAAAAATTCAGCGACTGTTATAGGAATATTACCTAGCTGATTTCTGAAGATGAGCTTGAGTTCATCCTCGGACTTTCCTTTCCCAAGTTGAAACAGAACTTTAATAAAAGAATTATTCATTACTTATCCAAAGCTCACAATAAGAAATATGAACTAATATTTTACGATATTAAGAAAATTACATCAAATGAAAAGCGGGGGAATCAAATAAATTTGATAATTTTTCAAGTTATCTTGATTCAAATCGATAATTCTATTAATCTAAATGACTTTTCCGTTGCTAATATAATAATCATTAAATGTATGCGCGTGTTGACCCTTTTTAGAAAATGAAACTAAGATATTGAGTTAGAAATCGAAAATATTCGAAACGGAGAAATCAGATTAAAATAGGTGATTTACAGTCAAATCACTTTGAATTCATACACTCAAAAGATTTAATTCATCTTTCAGAGAAAACAAAAAGTCTTTCACTTTGGGGCGAGATTAAGATAATCCTCATTCGGATTGAATTCATCGGTAAAGGGTCAAAACAGCAAAAGTCGAAACAGCAAAAGTCAAATGAGCAAAAATTAAATCAATTAAATTAAACTATTTAGAACAATTAAATTTACTTATAAATTTCAATGGAAATTTTCGTTCATGATTTATTTTCTCTACTTTCTAATGATCTATTTTCTGAATCAATTTAGATCTAACTTTCGAACTGATCGAATTGCAATAATTTTCTCTCGTTTTTTATTTGATCAACATGAGTGATTCCTTTAAATACGTGAAATCTAATAAAGGTGGTAAATTGTTAATTTATGAAAACAATATTTATCGAAAGAGATCAACCTCAGGTGATTCCTCTTATTGGGTGTGTGTGAATGAAAACTGTAAGGGCAAAATTAATCTACTTTTTGGTGATTTAAAATCAAAATCTGATCACAATCATGAACAAAATATTAAAAAAGTGATTGGAATTGAGCAAAAAAATGGTGCCAAGTCAATTGCAGGCCAATCAACATATTGTAACCTCAAATCAGTTTACAATGATGCAACTGAAAAAGTTTTATCATCTCTTCAGTTGCTAGCTGATGAAATTGCCAATGGATTAAAAACTTTTGATCAACTCAAAAAAACTATTGGCCGTGCTCGTTCTTCACGTTTTCCACCATTACCTCGAACTCGAGATGAAATATTCGTTCCGGAAAATCTCCAATCAAGTTCTACTGAAAAGTTTTATAAAATTTCTGATGGTGCTGATGATAAGATATTAGTTTTTGCCACCGACACTTTTCTCAAATACTTGTGTGAGGCAAATCATGTATACTCTGATGGAACTTTCAAGAGTGTCCCTCATCTATTCCACTCTACATGTAATGAAAAATGGAATCATGATTCCGGCCGTTTATGCGCTGATTCCCGATTCAACTATGCTAACATATACGCGACTATTTCGGATTATCCAAGACCTCTGAAGTGAGATAAATTTGACCTGGCAGCCAGAACAATTTACCACAGACTTTGAGTTATCCGCTATCAAGGCCATCAATCTAATTTTCCCGTTTTGTCAACTTAAATGTTGTTTATTCCATTTCAGTCAGAGTATTTGGAGGAATGTTGGCAAACACGGACTAGTACAAAGATACAAATCAGATGATAGTGATGTTAAAATGGCCGTTAAAAGAATCGCTGCCTTGCCGTTTCTAATTGTTGATGACATCGACGAAGTTTATGACCAGATCAAAGCTGAAGCACCTGCTGACGATAGTTTCAAAAACTTTTTGGACTATTTTGAACGAACCTATTTAATTAACGATGCTCGCTTTCCGAAAGAGATCTGGAACCACTTTGATGATCGTGATCCTAGAACAAATAACCATGTCGAAGGCTGGCATTCGGCTCTCAATAAAACCGTTGGCCGCCATCACGCGAATATCTACCAGTTTATCGAAACAATAATCAAGCATCAGAACAACTACGAAGTGCAAATTCTTATCGCTTCTAACGCACTAGCCCTCTGTAAAAGCTCTGTAAATCCATCGTTTCTTATTGCAATCAATATTCGTATGGTAAAAGTATGAACCCGCTTTCTCAAAATAGCGAACTTTACTAGAATGAAACAGGAAATCTTTTCGTCCATTTTTGAGAAATTTATAATTTCTAATATAGAGATGTTGACAAAAGAATTTAAAAAACAATTCAACATAATCGGTCTCACCAAAGAGTGAAATCATTGATTCTTTAGCTGTTTTATCCAAATATTTACCATTTGAAAAAATTGGTCGGATTTATGAAAGAGCTCAATGGGACTACTCCGATTAAATGTGGTTCCTTGTACATTCTCGAAGCAATTGGAAACCTTGGTGGTGAATCTTTTGATTGGCCTTTCAATTGGACAATGTTCATCGTCCGAATCAGCGACAATCGGAATTATTCATGGTCTTCGAAAGATGACCAATCAACCTCAAGTGCATGGCAGATGAAGATACTTGTTATCGTTTTACAAGTTAGATTGCTCATCGTACTTACAATTAAATTTATAATCAAGTTTTAAAATGAATTTGATTTACAAATAATTAACAACGATAAATAAAATTTGTTTATTTTCATGATAAACTGGATTTAATTTGAGTTTTCCAGGAATTTTGAAAGTTCAATCATAAATTAAGGTGGGATGAGATGATTTAAAAAAAGCAAATCATGATTAGTGAGATGAGAGTTAATTATTGTTGATGATCATGATTTAAATTATACATGAAATGATATCAAGACCAGTTAAACATGTTATCAATGTAACTTGTACATCGGCTAATCAAATTGTCGCAATTAATTTTGTTTATTTTTATTATTGTCGGAAGTTCTTGGCATTAAAATGTCAAATAACTTTTGTGGTTTATCTTTGATGAAACTTGCAAGTAAAGAGACTGTTGAGTTAATTGTTCCTGTTGATTCATTAATTGTGGTACCGCTGTAATTACCGGAAGGAGAGTCACCATTATTAACTAAGGGTAAATTGTTGTTAGTGTTAATTGCTTCGGGAATTAATTCAATACCAGTTGATACTGGTAATTTGTTTGCCTTTGAGGTAATTATTTTACTTTTAATTGAGTTCAATGGATTTAACTGTTTTTGACCTTTCATGGGAAACTGTTGACCATTTCCGTTTTCTGTTCCTGTCCGTCGGTGAATATAACCCGCTGGTGGACGAACGGCAACTTGATGAATTTCAGATGATGAAGTTATCATTGGACCAGGTCCAGTTATCTGATGAGGAGATGATGATGCACCTGAAAGATGATGAGGCTGATGTTGATGGTGACCAATTGATGGCTGAGATGATCGACCTGGTGGTGGCCAAATTGGATGTTCAGGTGGGAATCGGCCAACGGGTGGATCAGGAAGAGGTGGAACTGGAAGTGGGGAAATTGGTGATTCATAGAAGGCCAACATTACAATCGTACCGACGGAAAACGGTAAATTACAGTCTGTAATTAATTTAATTGGTCGATACATAATCAACATACATATATTATGTTCCATCTCAATACTTCTTAATACATTTGATGAGGAAAACTTCAAATAGAAATGAGATGATTGTAAAAATACAAAGTAATAAGTAAAGGTTAATTAGATCAGTAAAATTAGAATAAGTGATTGGACTGTAAGAGCCTTCGGCTCTTGTGCTTAATTCCTCGTAAGACCAACATCCGGGAAAGAGACTACCATTGATGGGACCAGAGTAAGTTTTTCTAGCATTTTTTGCTGCCATGACACCGAGACCATGTTCAATATGTGAATATGAAGCTCTGATAATCCATCGTTTCTTATTGCGATCAATATTCGTATGGTAAAAGTATGAACCTATTCTTTCAAAATAGCGAATTTTGCTAGAATGAAACAGAAAATCGTTTTGTCCATTTCTTAGAAGCTTATAATTTCTAACATGAAGCTGCTGACAAAAATACTTAAAAGTCGATTCAACGTTATCGCTTTCTCCAAAGAGTGAAATTATTGATTCATTAGCTGTTTTATCCAAATATTTTCCGAATAATCGATACTCGATAGGAATTAGTGGGTTTTTTAAGCCAAAAGATTCATTTGCAAAACGATAACAAGTATTTATACTTGCAGTACACTTGATTTTTTTCTGTGAAGTTAGATCAGACCACGTATTCAACGGTGCTGGACGTGAGGCTATCGAGTATTGTGTTGTGAAAGATGTCGAAAATAAATGTAATATGTAATGGACTGAGAAAGAGCAAGTTAAAAATAAGAATAACCCGAATGTACCTTTGATGCTGGTCAATAGAAACTTCATGATCGAAGGTCGATAAAAGGTTGATTTGGTTTGAACATTACTTTTGGCATTAGATCGAACACAATATAATATCAAAGCAAGAACTGTTAACATAATGATGAAGATACGAACTGTGTCATCAATTATCTCAAGTGATGATAATATTCCTTTATTAATTACTCTAGGTGACAAGTTTGGGTATATGTTCATGAAGGTACAACTGTCACCATCAACCACAGGCCCAACGGATACATTTACCTCTGTACCGTCCAGAGCATGTAAATATTTACCCGGATAAAGAAGATCAACTTCACCTGATCTGACAAATGAAATAGCATCGACTTCACTCCCCGAAAATTCAACAAACGTCACGGGTATATTACCGAGCTGATTTCTGAAGATGAGCTTGAGTTCATCCTCGGGCTTTCCTTTTAGAAGTTTTAACAGAACTTTAATAAGAGAATTATTCATTACGTATCCAAAGTTCACGAGAAATATCAACGAAAATTTTACGAAACTAAGAAAACAAAATCATAACGACAAATAGAAAAGATTGAATAGAATATGACAAACGAAAAAATCAAATTATTTTGACAATTTCTCAGTTCTTTTCATTCTATCGATAATTGTATTAAATGACTTTTCCTTTGCCAATATAGACATCATTAGAGGTTGACGCGTGTTGACCCTTTTTAGAAAATGAAACAAATATATTCAATCAATAGATTGTAAATATTCTACTTGAAGAAATTGTGGCACTAAATTAGAATGTGAGTGGTATGTAGTTTGAAAACTGAAATTTAGAGATAAGAAAAGGTAAAAGGTTAACTTATCTTTTTTACCTCTGTCTTTGTTTATCGGTATGATATTATGTAGGGTAGAAATTCTGACTCCCTCAGCTTTTCTCTGCCTATTCTTTAAGAATATCTCCCGAATAGATTTTCAATCTATTCTTTTTAATAATTAACTTTCATTAATTTCATTTGATTTTCAATCTTTATAATTATGTAAACCTCTTTCATTTATCTTCATTTGATTTAATTAATCATTTTATCTATGCTTCTAAAAGCTACTTTTTGTAAACCTTTGATACATCTTTAAGATGATCTTATGGTCAATATTTAATCTTTCTTTTGATAAGAACCATTGTGTTCAGTTACCAAGGTAACCACAGTTATCATTAATCTTTAATCTTTACGATTAGTTAACTTTTTACTTTCATTAGATTAACATCTATGTTTTAAAGTTCTCTTTTCATTACAATAAAATTCAGTTTTATTCTTGATGAATAATTGTAATCTCTTTGTTAACTCAGTTAAGTCGAAGACTTTCATCTTTAAGTTCATTTAATTCAGTTAATTAGTTACACCTAACACGAGTCAAATCCTAGATCGAATTTTAATATCAAGTGAAGGTGATAGCTTCTTCTCTTTCGGTTTCAACCTTCCGTTGTATTATCGTTCAGAGTCTCTCTTTCGAAAGTCTCGGGATAGAGCTCCTTTCTTCTTTATATTTTAAATATAAGACCCGTTCTTATATAAATTCCTTCATATTTGGCGACCCAGGCAGGATTTGCCTAGTGTTCTTGGTGTGATTAACTCTAACTATACTTTCGTATATTGTGAATCGATAAATTATTTATCTCTTCTTATATTTGGCGTGAAAGTGCTTTGTTCATGATGCCGCGAGGAAAAGCTAGAGTTGTTACACAGAAGAAAACCGTTAATCTTTCAGAGATACCAAATGAATTGGATCATCTTCCAATTGGTGAAAGAAATAAACCCATTGCTGAAATTTCCATAGCATCTGCGGAACTTTGTTTAGGCTTTTGGAAAGTCGTTGTTCCTGTTTCAACTTTCGTCGATAAGAAATTCAGAGAGGCCGTAAGGAATAATTTATATTTGGATTCCATTGAAATATCGGAAGATGATATGGACGAAATTGTGTTAAGTGAAGTGGTGGACAAAGTCCCACCCTTCTGGTTAACCAAATTAAGAGAATTGAAACTCTCAGAAAATGAGATTCATTCTATTTTAAGAGAGTCTGGAAGGACCCTCGATGCTTTCATGGCGTTAGAAGCAGCCGATATTCAAGGTTTGTCTTTAGGACAAGGTAGCAAGAAGTTGCTCATTCAATTACTCCAGGAAATGAAAGCAAGTGATGAAGATGACCAGCCTGAATCTCATGAAGATGAAAGGCCAGAGGTGAGTACTGTTGTTGAAACAGTTACTGTCCCTCAAAGGAAACACGTTCTTGTTCCCTGTTGTCGCCCCGAGCGTAAGCTCAAACATGGTTTACCTAATACTTTAGGTAACCAACCTTTACGAATTATGCTACAAGATCCATCGATTCCTGTCTTTAAGAAAGGAGATGATCCTCATGAGTGGGTAACTCAAGCAGAAGGCTTTTGGATTTGGAACCTGTAGAGGATGAGATTAGACTTCGTTGTCTAAAAGAGGATTTGCTCATCAAATTCTACATTTCTGAAATGGTGGATAAAACATCCAAGACTATCGAGAGTATCTGATGGCTCTAAAGGAAAGGTTCAAGGACCCTTCAAGATCCAATGCTCTTCATAAGCTGATGTCTTATCAATATAAGTTTGAATGTCCCCCTGAAGATTTCATATCTAAAATGCGTGAATTGGTTTATAAAAGCCAAGGTAATGTTTCTAAAGAAACTTTTTTAATTTTTGTCTTGAATCATTTACCAGACAATATAAAACAAAAAGTTTTTCATCAAAGAGCTAACAAAAGCTTAGAAGACGTAAATAAACTTTTGCTCACCTATTATTATGAAAGTCTTGCAACAAAAGAAAAGGATGCAAAAGAAAAGATGAAAATGAAGACTAAACTCTTCAAAAAGTCTTCTGATGAATCATCTGAAAACAAAATCTATCCAAAGAGAAGAGATAGAAAAGACGTTACTTGTGTTAAATGTGGTAATAAAGGTCATTACGCGAATGAGTGTGATAAGCCAAGGTCTTCAAGACCAACTTCCACTGTTAAGCCTTCATCCGATGAAGCACCGGTAAAAATTGCTACTGAAGCAAAAATACTTTATCATTTCTTTCGAGACAAGAAAGAAGAAGTCCTGACTAGACTTGATGATGATATGATTGAAGAAATGCCTTTACTTAAGGTACGATTACGAAAATCAGACAAAACTTTGGTAAAACGAGGAATGGTCCTTGCAGACACTGGCGCCTCATTGTCAGTAATAGATTTTGATTTGGCAAAATCTCTTGGAGCTGATGTAATCGAAGACAATAAACCTTTGGCAGGTATTGTCCCTGGTTCAATTATTCGGTCAATTGGTTATTGTTTCCTTTTGGTTAAACACCCGAAAATTGAAGATGTCCGAATCTTAAAGGTTCAAGTTGTGGAAAATTTTGAGACCAAAATTATTTTTGGTTGTCCCTTTTTACATTCGTTTTATACGAATATGGATTCAGATGGAGAATCTTATAATGTATCTGTGAAAGATACACCTGATGGACAATCATTTAGTGCTGAATTTGACGTTCGTGTTTGCACTATCGATGAAAGTAATCGAATCATGGATTGTCGCCCTTCCTCTCCTAAAAAGAAGAGGACTTTTCTTGAAGAAAAGAAAATTGAAAAAGAGAACTTAAATTCTAATGTTCCAGTTGAAAATAGATCAACGAGAATCTTCAAAATGGTAAAAGCTCCTGAAAATCTTTATCATGATAAAGAATTGGAAAAAATTGGTTCGTTCACTATCAAGGATGGTGACGATAAAATCAAAGTTGCTGAAAAGTTAATGGTCATTGCTGAACCTGATGATTTTGAAGAAAAAATCAAAGCAAGGATAAACCCAAAATTAACTCATGACCAGAAACAAAGTTTAACGGAGTTACTTCTTCGTTATAAAGACGTGTTTAGTAAACATCGTCATGATTTAGGTTTAGTTCCACACGAAGTGTGTAACATCAAAATTGATATGGGTAATAACGCTGTTCCCTATCAGAAACCTTACCCTTGTTCTGTTGAAAAACGAAAAGCATTTACTGAATTGGTAAATAAACTAATTGCTGCCAAAATCGTACAACCTTCAGAAGAAGATGGTGGAAGTCCAGCCTTATTGGTTGAAAAACCAGGTAAACAATATCGATTGGTTTGTGATTATCGTGCTGTTAATAAATTAACAAACGTTCCAAATTATCCTATGCCAGGATAGACGACTGCTTGGAAGC